TTTATGATATCTTCAAACATATATTTTATTCAAAAATAAAAACATCATCGCTTTCTCAAAATCACATAAAGCCATATTATAACATCGAATGAGATAAAGAATAAAATGAAATATTAAAATCACGATGTATCTCGTTGCATTGCGCGAGTACGCTCCTAGTATATATATACATATACTCAATTAATTAATAACTTTGAATTTACTATTATTCAGTCTTGACTTGGAACCATCGTAGCATATTCACATTTCATTAAACTTAGTTTTGACTTGGAACCATCGTAGCATATTCACATTTCATTAAACTTAGTTTTGACTTGGAACCATCGTAGCATATTCACATTTCATTAAACTTATAATAATACTTTTCCATAAGAACATAAAGATTCCACTCAGCAAAAAAAAATATATCGTCACCCTACAAATACAAAGTAAATAAAACATACTGGTCCTGTAATCATCACGAGTAAAGTACATCACGTGTTCCAAGTACATGCGAGTGTTGTGTGGAATTGATAGCTGTCAATACTTCTGCATTATATCCATCTCCTTCCCTGATAGTTTAAACTCATGAAAACTTATATGTATAAATCAATAACTTCACTATCCATAGAAACAATACACAACATTTGTAAACAACAATGTGATATCCTCTTAATCGAAATCTGATAAAAGTCCATACATCTGTAAAAGTTAATATTATCTGTTGTTCCACAATACATCAATAATTAGAAAGACGTAAAAATACCACAATAAAATATGATTTTAATTTTTCATTGAAGTCTCTAGATTTTCTTAATGCATTAATATTTTTGTGACGGTAATGGGATATCATTGTATATAAATTGTAGATATTGAAATAGGGTCGAAATGACTTTGAAAGGAACACGAACCTGCTTGTAGTTATCTATCTAGCCAAAATTAGAGATCTATGCATTTGATGTATGTTGTTCTTGGAAAAATCTTAAACTGGGCTCTTATTCGCGTTCTTTTGATTTTAATCTTTGTTTTTTTATATTAATTACGTATATCTAAATTCCATACCTGATTTATATTTTTTGGAAAGAAATATCGCAATCCAACACATGCAAGCTTTATCCTTGTTTATCTAAAGGGAATATTACAACCTAACACATGAGAAAACAATGGATCAAATGCTTCTCAAATTATGTGTCGTGTTGTCTTGCAAATTATATATATCTTCTTTTAGAAATAAAAAGAGAATAAAACAAAAAACGAACTAAAGATGTTTGCTAACCTTTGACCAATCGGCGGTTCATGTTGTCTCGTGCAGACATGCCCAACCATCTTGCATTACGGTTCAATTAAGTTCGGGGTTGAAACATAGGTTCTACGAGCCACAAACACTATGAGGTTCATATTTGAAGTTGAGAACAACCCACGATTAAGATTAAAAGACATTATATTTATGAAAATTTTAGATCAATCACAATCCATTTTAATATGAGGTTCAACTCTATCCAAGAAATTAATACTAAGGGTATGTTTGTAATTTTCTTTTTATATAACTCCTATATCATTAATTGGATGTTACATCATTATAAAATCCTATGATTTTTTTTCTTTTGAATATTGTTCTTAATTTCTCAGATTTTTAATGATTTGGTTGAGTAACATAATTTCATTATAATATTTATGAACATATGTGAAAATCCAAGCAATACATGTAACACATGTATATATATATATATATATATATATATATATATATATATATATATATATATATATATATATATATATATATATATAGACTTGGGGTGAGACCAAAGATTTTTTTGTGAGACACGTAAGATCAATTCTCAACTCTTGGATTAGATCTACAATCTGAACATTCATAATCACAAAATTGCCAC